GCACATATGAGTCACTGGTACCGAGTTATGACCGATTTACTGAATTTTTGATTCATTTTAAGCACCTCTTCTTGTGATAAAGACATATTTTTTTTTCAAATTCAATATGTTGAGAAAAGCAGATTCTTTTCGGCTAAAACTTTCTGGATACCCACATGATTTTCTTTTTTCGAGAACTACTTGCGAATAGAAAAAAATGTCCATCTCTATTGATGTATGCTTTTAGTAATAGAAAAATTATTTTACTTGTGTAGGGTGCTAAAAAAAGTGCTATTGGTCAAGCAATTATTGGTATATTACCATATATAAAACGTGAAATTCCTATCATGATTGTTTTTCGTGCACTTGGACATGTGTCTGATCGTGATGTGCTCGAACATGTTATCTATGATTTTGATGACATGGAAATGATGGAAAAAGTAATATTTCAAAATTGAAAAAATAATAAAAAAAAAATAAAAAAACAATTTTTTTTTTGTTTTATGCTAGATTAAACCATCACTTGATGAAGCATTTGTTATACAAGATGATCAACTAGCACTTGATTTTATAGGTGCCCGTGGTAGTAATGCTGGTGTTCCACGTGAAAAACGTATACGTTATGCTAAAGATATATTACAAAAAGAAATGTTACCACATATTGGTATAACACAACATTGTGAAACAAAGAAAGTTTATTTTCTTGGTTATATGGTTAATCGTTTATTATCAGCTGCATTAGGTCGTCGAGAATTAGATGATCGTGATCATTTAGGAAATAAACGTTTAGATTTAGCTGGTCCATTATTATCTTTTTTATTTCGTGGTTTATTTAAACGATTGACTAAATATATAACAGCTGCTGGACAAAAAGCTGTTAATCGTCATCGTGAAGTTGGTAATTGGGTTATTCGAGCTGATATAATATCACAAGGCTTACAATATTCATTAGCTACAGGCAATTGGGGTGATCAAAAAAAAGCACATCAAGCTCGAGCTGGTGTTAGTCAAGTATTAAATCGTTTAACTTACGCATCAACATTATCACATTTACGACGTGTCAATTCGCCAATTGGAAGAGATGGAAAATTAGCTAAACCACGTCAATTACATAATACTCTATGGGGAATGATTTGTCCAGCTGAAACACCTGAAGGACATGCTGTTGGCTTAGTTAAAAATTTAGCACTTATGTCATATATTTCTGTTGGTTCACAACCTCAACCAATATTAGAATTTCTTGAAGAATGGTCAACAGAAAATATGGGTAAGATTATTATTCACTAACTGAAAATCAACTTTAATAACAATGAAACTAAACTAATTGTCTGTTTCTTATAGAGGAAATAACACCATCTAGTATTCGAAATGCTGCAAAAATCTTTGTTAATGGCTGTTGGGTTGGTATTCATCGTGATCCAGATCAATTAATGAATACATTACGTCGTTTACGTCGTCAATGTGATATTATTGTTAACGAAGTATCAATGGTACGAGAAATTCGTGAACGTGAAATTCGTATATATAGTGATGCTGGTCGTATATGTCGTCCATTAATGATTGTTGAAAATCAAAAATTATTATTAAAACAACGACATGTTGATGCACTTAAAGATCGTGAAAGTACAAATTACGGGTAAAATTTATATATATATATATAATTTCATTAAAATAAATTTCTTTATTCTATTTAAATTAGATGGCAAAATTTAGTTGCTGAAGGCATTGTTGAATTTATTGATTGTCTTGAAGAAGAAACAAGTATGATTGCTATGTTACCAGAAGATTTACGACCAGGAGCAGAATCAAATTATTGTTCGACATATACACATTGTGAAATTCATCCATCAATGATTTTAGGTGTATGTGCAAGTATTATTCCATTTCCTGATCATAATCAATCACCACGTAACACATATCAATCAGCTATGGGTAAACAAGCTATGGGCGTTTATATAACAAATTTTCATATTCGAATGGATACACTTGCACATGTATTATTTTATCCTCAAAAACCCTTAGCTGCAACACGTGCAATGGAATATCTTCGTTTTCGAGAATTACCAGCTGGTAGAGAAACTATTGTATATTAAAATTTTAAAGTCTTTCAAAAATTCTCTATATTTAGGTATTAATGCTATTGTTGCAATCGCATCATATACGGGTTATAATCAAGAAGATTCAATTATTCTTAATTGGAGTTCTGTTGATCGAGGATTTTTTCGTTCGGTTTTTTGGCGTTCATATCGTGAAGCTGAAAATTCACAAGGTGATCAACATATAGAAAAAATTGAAAAACCACAACGTACAACATGTGCTGGTATGCGTAATGCAGTTTATGATAAACTTGATGATGATGGTATGATTGCACCTGGTATTCGAGTTAGTGGTGATGATGTTCTTATTGGAAAAACAGTTACTTTACAAGATACAGAAGATGAAGTAAGGATAAATATATGCAGTTCTATGTTTGAATAGATCGAAAATATTCAGTTCGTAATCTGTGATAGCCAATACATAAATATCGAATGGATTCCTAATCCGATTGGATATTAGAGCCCGTCGGGTTCGAAAAAAGTTGGACTCAACTCTGCTTATTGAATGTTTTTTAAATCATATTGACAATGATCGATATTGAGTTTTATTTGTAGAATAGCAGCTGTCAGTTCAGACTCAAATTCAACGAGCTCTACTGGACGTTCAGTTCTATTTGATGATCAGATAGACTGTACACCAGGCTATCAGTCTGAATTGAGACTGTTGCATACGTAGCAAAATATTACCTCTTAACAAGCGAAAAACTAGTACTCTTAGTTTCAAATCTGAATGATATACTCGATCATAATAGGCGACAGAATGATTTCAGCCTAGTGCAGGCTCAACTTGAGTCTACCCAAACCTAATGGCTTTATTATTTTCTGATTTTTCTTCTTTAATTAAAGAAACTTTGCTTTGAGAATCAAATACATTTTTAAATCGTTGGGTTGAGTTTCGTAAATAAATATGATGCGTTTCAAAATTGGGATTGATTTTTTGTTCTGAAAAAATCACCTGAATTGATACCTATCGTTTGAGCTCATATCGAAATTACACAGTCGTCTCGATAAAACTAATCAAAGTCTATAAGGATTCATGTCCATGAGTTTAAGGATCTCGATGATAATCGTTTTATTGAATTTTCGATTCAACGTCACGTAATATTTTATCCCGCTATAAACGCAATAACCTATAGAATACCTTGAAAGTTTCAGCTGACAAAGTATGTTTTTTTTGTCAAGTTTTCAAGTAAACTCAATTTTCGTATTTTGCTTGTATTAAAAGACTATTAATTTTGAAAGTTCGGTAACTCGAGTGGGAATTGGAGGATATTTTACGAATCATACAATTTATCAATTTGCAATATATTTGACTTCATTTTTTTTTCAATTTTAGTTAAATAGCAAAACGAAAAAATTTATTAAAAAAGATGCTAGTGTATTTATGCGTGCAAGTGAAACTGGTATTGTTGATCAAGTAAGTTCGTTTGTTGTCTTGTTTTTGTTTTAAAATACAATTCTTTTTTTTAAGGTACTTTTATCAATCAATGATGAAGGTTTTAAATTTGTTAAAATTAAAGTTCGAACAGTAAAGATTCCACAAATTGGTGATAAATTTGCTAGTCGACATGGACAAAAAGGAACATGTGGAATACTCTATCGAATGGAGGTATCGAAAAAATAGTTCGCATAATAGAAATATTTGAAAAAAATTATAATTTGAATCTATATCCGAGATTACTAATCGATGTAGTCATCTTTTGTCGAAAGTAACTTTTTTAATCAAATTTGAGAAGGCAAGAACAATATAAGTTTTTACTTAATATTCGTTTCTGAAATATCAAAACAAAAAAACTAAATTTACTTTATCATAGTTCTATATAAACTTTACCTTCTATTTATATTGTGTACTATGTAATGTTAAATTTATTGTTGCTATTTCCTTTTTAAGGATATGCCATTTACTGCAGAAGGTATAACACCTGATTTAATTATAAATCCTCATGCTATTCCATCACGTATGACAATTGGACATTTAATTGAATGTTTACAAAGTAAAGTCGCAGCAAATAAAGGTGAAATTGGTGATGCAACACCATTTAATGATATTGTTAATGTTAAACATATATCGGAAATGTTACAGGAATATGGTTATAATTTACGTGGCAATGAAGTTATGTATAATGGAATGACAGGAAGAAAACTCAACTGTCAAATATTTTTGGGACCAACTTAGTAAAGATTTATTTATTTTTATATAAGGGATAACCTAGTGCCGAAGTCATATAATTTTGATAATCTAATTGTACGTAGATTGGAATTTGATCAAACTTTATTTTAAAAAATACCGTTATTTTTACGATAGTGAAAAATTCAAATTTAAAATTTCGATATTTTACCCAACTAGTGAGAAACTGTTTAGGTAGTTCTCTGTGTAACAGTAATTTCCATCCAGCTCTAAGAATTGGAATTGAACAAGCTTATCAAAGAATGAATATACCTTCTATCGAATTGGCAATTCTGCCCGCTACTAAAACATCTTCATGAATCTCCGCCAGAGGTACTTTCACTCAAATTATTAATATTCACGTTCACACCATAAATACATGGATGGATTGCTGAGAGAAATTTTCTTATACTAAGATATGTGAATCGAGAAGCGGTCATAGCTCTTTTCTGGTTAACATTGCAGCTTGCAGAGTTGAGTTTTCGCTGAGTAATAACTTAAATATGCTTCCAATTGGTTATATTATCATTTGTGTTCACTTCTGTTCACTGTTCTCAAAAACGAAAAAAAAAAAACTTCGTATTCCATTTCAAACGACTTCGAGACTACATGAGCGTCTGAGAAAGCTGGGTGTAAGTGTGAAAAAGTACTGTTACCATCAATATGACTGTTGGTGTTAGCTACACCCACACCCACATTCCATTCTCTTTTTATTTTTATTTGATGTGTTTTATTTGAGCTATCAACGACTTAAACATATGGTGGATGATAAAATTCATTCTCGTGCTCGTGGTCCCGTACAAATTCTTAATCGACAACCAATGGAAGGTCGATCACGTGATGGTGGTCTACGATTTGGAGAGATGGAACGTGATTGTCAAATATCACATGGTGCAGCACAATTTCTTAAAGAACGTCTTTTTGAAGTATCCGATCCATATCGAGTACATGTTTGTAATACTTGTGGTCTTTTGGCTGTTGCAAATTTAGCTGAAAAAACATATAGTTGTACAAGATGTGCAAATACAACTCAAGTAAGACGATTGAATTAGTAGAAAAAAAGTGACTTTCATGTTTTTTTGTTTTGTTTTATTGAATAGATATCACAAGTGCGTTTACCATATGCATGTAAACTTCTATTTCAAGAACTTATGTCTATGAATATCGCCCCAAGGATGTTTGTTGATTAAATTATGTATATAAGTAAATTCAAATTCGACGAATTGTGAAGACTAACAACAAGATATTAGAAAAAATGACTTATTTGTTTTTTATTATATTAAAATACAAGAGAAAAAGTTATTTTTTTTTAGAGAAAAATGATAAAAAAACGTTTTTCTTTTTCAATAGTTGGCAAGTAATAAAATGCTATAAATAATGGTGCGGGTGTGGATACAAGTGTTTTCTTGATCCCTACTCCACACTCCTGCAAGATGTGAGTGTGGATCTCCTATTGTAATATTTTCTTTCTCTCTTACTATCCTTATAACTGTAACAGTTCCGCTTGGGATACCACCGACAGCAATTATCTTTGGAAATTCAACATCGGTATCCGTTAAAATTGCTTAGGGGTCAAACACACTAGAAAAGTGAAAAAAGATGACTTAACTCTAAATTAGCCACTTACATTGCTTAATTCAACTTTAACATTAATTCACTTTTCTAGTGTGTTTGACCCCTTATGCTCTTTGGAATTTCATTACAATGCTTCTCTCCATTGTCATCATGGTTTGAGACCATTGTCACTTCATTCAGTTTTCGAGTTTACTTAACTATTCAGTCGTACTTAACAGCGCTTTCTCTGTATTAGATTAGAAAAAACTAGCCATTTTTTTTTATTACGATACTAATTCTTCCGGCATCTTTACGAAAAGAAGAATAATTTTACAACTAGATACCATCGTAGTCAGACATCATGGCGAATAATATACAGATTTAGTTTTATTCTCTTCATACATGTATGGCTTAATGACAGATGATGCGAGATGTTTATCAGTGAATTATCAATCGTAATCGAACGTTAGAGGATTTTAGTAGTGTAGTTGATTATCTTAATGGATCGGCAGACTTGTACTTCCAACTCCAACGAACTTAATTTATTTTTGACAGATGGCACGAGCTTTTTCCTCAATGTATAATGATGATTTCTGATTTAGCAACATTTCTATCTGAAATTTTGGTTTTCTCTTCGATGTGAATCACTATGCAGAAGTAGATTCGAAGAGTAAGATGTTTTGTTACGATCGTTACATTGAAGATGATTGTATTTACAGCCAAATGAGCAAAGAAATGCATGTGGATCACATGTCACTCCATCTAAATATTTCAAATAGTATCCTAGAAACAAAGGTGAATAGCAATACTTTCGATTGTTATGTTCGTTAATAACACCTAGGCAGTCACCGTGACTATCACCAATCTGTTTGAGAGCGATAGAAGATCAATGTCGCATGTATTCTCTTTTTTGAAACTTTTCTCTCTCGTTGGCGGAAGATGATTGTTCTCTCAGAAGCAACTTCTTTGTATCATTATCTGAGGTGGTAATTATGGCAAAAAGGTATTTATTGCAGCATGGAAAGCTTCGAATTCGTGTTTTAATCCGTTGCCATGTATTGACCTATTTTCTGTTGCATTGCTATGATTGTAGTTCCACAGCTAAATATCAGAACTGTAGCTCAAAGCCACTGTCAATCGTTTCCATTAATACAAAGAGAGACTGCGAGTCAATTTCAGTCACATCCATTAGCATAAACTTTTTTTTTCATGCATTCTGTATTAGTCTCAAGGAGCGTTATAGTGACTAATCACTAGACTTCACCACTTCCTCTATTTTCTCAAGTATTGTTCTTTGTCTCGTCTCTTGGATTTCTGTGTATGTAATTCAGATGTATCTCCATCTAGCAAAACAGAGATTCTAATGAAGAAATCGGAGAAGGGTGTGGGTGTGGGTGGGTGTGGATGGTTCTTTTCTTTCTCCACACCCACACCCTAGTTTTTACACTAGTCATTAGAACAGAATACATCAAAATTGTCACAGGATTCGTATTAATGTTATTTGAAATTTATTCCAAATTATTTCACTTCGCATATTGTTATTTTGGGGAATGAACAGTAGTCATGCTGACAAAAACTGACTGTGCAGAAAAAAGAAAGATTTTTTGAAATGAGTCACGAAAGAGATGGTGATAATATCATGGTCATAAATAAAGTGCATCTTCTTCTTTCTGTTATCTATCTATCTATGGTATATAAATAGGATACTATTAAAGTAAAAGAATTTCATACTTTATATTTTACGTAACAAAGAAAACAAAGACAATTTAATGCTCTTTTCAAAAGAAAATCTTGTTTTGATCATCATCGAATATCTATTATTGTAAGTTCGACTTAACGTTCATACGGAATGTTTATTATTGAAAAGTTTTTGTCTTTTTAGTATAAATGGCATTACAGTTGGTAACAAAAAACATAATTTGTTTCTTTATTTAATGTTTCCTTTTTTTTAGGCAAATTCGTCCCTGATAGTAAACAAAAACAAGGAAACTGTAAGTGAAATAATAATAATAATAATTGTACAGACCACAAAACTTATATCATGTCCATCCTGTGTCAGTAAATCATCACTTTCCAGTGAAACTGATGTCTTGATTATCTCAGGACTTTTTTCAAACACAGTTCTATCCTGGATGTTAGTTGCATTGAAGTTTTCTTTTTGCTGTAGGCCATGATGATCTTAAGTGGAATCCAAATGGTATTACAGTTGTTGGAAGTAATACAGCCGGAACATTGCCAAATCAATTAAATGGTCCACGAGGGTTATTTTTTCATCAAAAAACACGAATTTTATATATTGCCGATAGAGATAATCATCGTGTACAACAATTATTACCAAATGGTGAGATAAAGACAATAGCTGGTGATCCAAACGGTAGTGAAGGAGCTGGTAATAATCGATTAAATGAGCCATCAGCTATTTATGTTGATGAAAACCAAAATTTATTTATCGCTGATAATAAAAATCATCGCGTGCAAAGATGGGAAAAAGATTCATTAAGTGGAACTACTGTCGCGGGTCAACCAGGAATTCCAGGTTCAGCTTTAAATCAATTAGATAGTCCTCAGGCTATATGGGTTGATTCAAAGAATAATTTATATATTGCAGATATGGGAAACCAACGTATAGTGAAATGGTCAACAGGTGAGCTAAAATATTTAAAAAATTGCTTTTTCTTCCTTATAATAAAATCCAAAATTATTCAAAATTGGACATATAATCCTTTACATCTAGATGAATATTACCCTAAAGTTTCATATCTTTAGGCCCAAGTATGAGCTTCAATATCTAACTTTGAACATTTTTGAATTGTAATAATAAAGAAGAAAAAGCAATTTTTTAAAAATTGACCAAAACTTTTGATTCATTCTTTAGGTCAATCACCGAGTGTGGTAGCAGGAGGAAATGGACGAGGTAATTCACAGAATCAATTGAACGATCCTGTAGGTCTAGATTTTGATGAAGCAAATGATGATTTATATATTTCAAATTATGATGGTCATTCAATAACGAAATGGAAAATAGGTGAAACACAAGGTGCATTTATTGCTGGTACAGTTGGTCAAAATGGTAATAGTTCAACACATTTTTTTCATCCATCTACTGTAGCATTGGATAAAAATGGTAACATGTATATTGCTGATACTTATAATCATCGTATTCAATTATTTTGTCATGATTTATCACAAGAAGGTATAACAATTGCTGGTATAACAGGTCAAAGTGGTAATAAGAATAATCAATTAAATATGCCTCATGATTTGGCATTAGATACAGAAACACTTGATTTATATGTTTCTGACAGTAGTAATAATCGTGTACAAAAATTTTCTTTTATTTCATCATCATCAACAAGCATAAAGATAATAATGGAACAACAATTGATATTAATGTTAACAACAATCAGCTTTATCTTATTTTATTGATTATCTGTAATTTCCATTATCTCCCACTCATTATATTAGACAAGCAGACAAACATGTTTTTTTTCATGTGAAAAGTTTCAATGATTAAATATCAGAAGATTCGATTTTTTTTATAAAATATCATAATTTCATTAGAAAAAAACCATAGCAAAAAATTTAATTCTTAAGATGATTATTCATCACAATGACAAATCACTAAAATTTTCTCATACTTTGTCACGGGCATATATACTTATCGCGCAAAAGTCCTGGAAAAAAGTGTCATGTATAATATTGTTTCTAACGGCACTTAACAGAGTCTGTGAGAAAATCGACCAATATAAGGGAAAGGTACCGGTGGAAAAATTTTTAGATTTTGACATTGATCATCTCATTCGAAAGTCCATAAAAAAATTACTTCGGAAACAAAAATATCAACTTATTTTGATTTATCTATAAGAAAATAGCAAGTACTTCACTTTTTCCACTTCTTGGCTCATATCCTAAAAATCGATTTTTTAAATCCTAGTCGTATTGTGCGATTTTCTCCTCCATTGTTTGATGGTATCAGGCGAGGAACCTCTCAAATGATAGAGAATGATACTCTCTACAAAATTTCTCAATGCAATTTTTCATGAGAAAGGAATCAAGTTTGAAAAAAATAAGTGTACAATTCAAGTGATCAGATTTCAGTGTCATGGACAAATGTTCTATGAAAGTAAGAGATCCCAGACTGAATTTTTCATATGTTGTAGCCCTCGTCATGGCACATCTTTTGGTATATTCTTCATTGAAAAATTTCATCAGAAGGTAATAAAAGTTTTCGTCACAAAAGTTCAAATATAGCATTATTTTACTCTTCTAACATAGTACTAATGAATTATTTTTTCGTGAATACATCGAGAATGTATTTATTTGAATAGTTTCAAGTTTTATAATCGAAAAGACAACATGAAAATTGATGGTCCATGGTAAATTCGAGGGATTATTGAGCTGATGACTATTGAGCACCTCTCGATGTTTAATTGAACAAATCATAGAAACAAGTTTTACTACTTCTGTCTTGAGTATGACTTAGATATAAATATATATTTTGACTTATGAATTGGGCGTTTGAATGAGCTTACACACTTGTCAAATAGTACATACTAAAAATATTGTCAAGGATAGTAGCATCCGGAGAGTAGATGAAGCTTCGTTGAACACAATGAATTTTACTAATATAGATTACAAGCATCATGTTTAGAGATTCATTGAGCTGATATATCCTCCTGGCCAAAATAAATGATGCACCTTGTTTTTACAATTATCATTTTCTGCGTGATTAAATTAGTCTCATA